CCTGGAGGGCATTATGCTGAGTGAAATATCTCAGTCACAAAAGGACAAATACTACGTAGTGGAACTGTTATAAAACAGGACTGACATAGGGGTTGTGGGAAGACAGAGAAGGAGGGGAGGAATGATGTATATTGCACTAAAAGAGATGAGAGAGAGAACTGTTTAAAAGGGATATATTATTAAGTATTATTGTCATGACATGAGTCCAGAATGAAGGCTGCACAGTAGAGTGGACTTGGGGGGAGGAATTGTATAATAATGAAAGAATTTTTCTTTTACTTTTCAAAGAGAAGAACAAAGTAGAGGAAGGAGTGGGCAGTGAGAAAAGTGCAGCAATGAATGAATGGAAATCCAAAGTCTCGGTAAATTTTCATTAAAATCAATAATAATAATAATAATAAATAATTTTAAAAAATCTTCACCACTGGACCAATAGGCAACATGGTGATAGATGGAGAAAAGATTGGATTGTCAAGGATTTCATTTTACTTGGATCCACAAGCAATAATGTTATGTTAGCAGCAATCAAGGAATCCAAAGATTTTGAGACTCTGTCAAGAACCTCTCCAAAGTTCTAAAGAGCAAGGATGTCAGTTTAAAGGCTAAGGTGCACGGTATTGTAAATTGCTTCCTATGTATGTCAAGTCAGAGAAGGATGGGTGATCTCCTCCTGAGCAATTAACTGCCTCTGAAAACCCTCCAGAAAGGCAGCCATGAGTTGTTTCAAATTCTTACAGTACACAACAACAACATGTATCTCAAAGTCAGACCCCATGGCCCAGCAACAACAGGGCAGTAACAAATGCTGGTGAGGTTGTGAAGAGATTGGAACCCTTATTCACCGCTGGAGGGAATGTAAGATGGTACAGCCACTATGGAAGGTAGTCTGGTCCATTCTCAGAAAGAGAGAAATACCATTTGACCTAGCAATTCCACTACTTGGAATAATATACTCCAAAGAAACCTGAGCCACAGTTCAAACATGTATGCACACCTGTGTTTATTGCTGCATTATACACAATAGCAAAGAGATGAAGCAATCCAAGTGCCCAGCAACAAATGAATGGATAGAAAAACTATCATACACACTGCAATCCTGAAGGCATGCTGGTCCAATCCATCAGCTGCTCTGCTGGAGGAGAGACAATTTCCTCCTGTAACAGGTGGATCCAGTTTGATGGTACACACACACAAAATAATAAAATAAAAAATAAAAATAATTTAAACAAAAAACTAATATGGTACATTCATACAACGGAATATTATGGAGCAGTGAAAATCAGTAAACTCGTAACACATTATATAACATGGGGGAGCCTGGAGGACATATGTTGAGTTGAATAGCTCAGTCACAAAAGGATAAATACTTCATAATACCACTGTTATTATATAGATGTGGAGGGCTTGGGGAGAAAGTAGGAAAAGAATGGATTAATGAACTAATGAACATTACATTAGAGCAGATGAGGGGGAAAATGGCTCAAATGGAATATATATTAGGCATTTTATATATGACAACAATCAGGAACAAAGGGTGCATGGCTGGGAAGAAAATGGGCAAAAATGAAGAATAAAAAAAATGGGACCATGGATGACACAAGAAGAGTCAATCCATTTCTGTTTGGTGTTAGTAGAGTATTGCGTGTACCATGGATTGCTAATATAAGCACATCTGCCTTGAAGGAATTGCAACTGAAGTATTCGTAGAGGCAAGGATGGTAAAACCTCATCTCACTTTGGGCATATTTTCACAAGGAACCAGTCCTTGGAGAGAAACACCATACCGGGAATTCCAGCAAAAGAAAGGAAGCCCCTCCACCAGATGGATTGGCACAGTGACTGCTGCAAGGGGCTCGAGTGTGTCAGACATGGTGAGGACGGCACCGGATAGGGCATGGTTCTGATCGCTGTTCATAGGGTTACTATGAGTCACAGGCGACTTGAGGATGCCTCATGACAAGTACTCTGTCTTATAGGGTCGTTTTTTTTTTAAAAAAAAAAAGAGAAATATTTTAGTAAGCTTTAAGAGGAATAACAACAACAATTCACTCAATCTTATAACTGAAGGCACCCGAAGAGTAATAAAGCACAATCTTCCAAACAGGGAGACTGGACATCTCTTTGGTGAGACCAGGTTGTCATTCTGAGCAAGTCCTCCAGTTTGTCCTCTAAGTTAAAAGCCGGAAGACAACAAAAGCCTATTCCTACCAGTTGCTTCTCATCAGTAGATTGTGATTGGCTACAATGTTTTGCAAAGGAGGCAGTTTCTTCGGTGATGGCAGTCAACCAAGGACATCTTCCTTCTTTTCTACAGCCCTGAGCAGTGGGAGAAACTTTTCATGTATGATCTTTGGCTATTCCTAGTAAAAATGGCCAGTAAGTTCCACTAAGCAAAGGTTTCACACTGTGGAGGTCACAGGCAAATTGGATTCAGAAGTCAGGCTTCTGTAGTGCTGGGAACCCAGGGCTGGTCATTGGCCTGACTCAATGTCCCTACCCATAAAGCTGGATTCACCAGGAAGCTCTATTGCTACAACCTGCTACCCTTTGAGGCGCATCAGGGCTGTGATAGATCAAGTTAGTAATGGGATGGATGAGGCTGAAACACTGGATCCAGTACTCGACTCTAGCTGGTGGTTATACCAGGAGAAAAACTGCCCGGTGGCTGGAGGTTTGGCCCACGCCTACAATGATAAACAGCACAGTGAATGTCTCATAGTTCCTTGAGAAAACTTGCAGGAAGTTGAAGCCACTCTGCATTCCCATGGTCATAAACAGCACATTCTTCCGACCAAATCTGTCTGAGAACTGCCCTGAAATGAAGGAGTCCACCAGCCACCCATGAAAATCAAGGCGGTCGGGGCTTTCCAGTCTTCCTCACACACCACGTTCCACTCTGTCACGATGGTGGACAGATAGACATCTTGGCTGAACTCCCAACCAGCTCCATCAGGCTCACGTCTCTCCCCTCGCACCAGCACGAGCGCGGGGTAGTTGGCAAGGGTCGCCAGCTTGTAGCGGTGGCGGCTGGGGGTGGGTACCTCTCGGCAGTCCTGAGTTGGCAGATTCTGGCACCTGGCGGTGGTGCTGGGGTTCCCCATTCCCCATCAGGAACACCACTCTCAGGCAGTTGAATTCGTCGGGGATGAGGCTGGCGCTGAACAGAAGAAGATTAGGCGCTGGAAAGGCTCTTACTTGCTGGAGAAGGCAGTCACTCGTAGTCTCCCATGCTTCCCTGAGCTGCACGCGCCGCACAGCCAGGGATCGAGGTACGCCAGGGCGCATAGAGGAGGGCGCACGCGCGGAGCTCCCACCGCCAGACAGATCCAAAGACCTCTTAGAAAGCCTTTATGAGTAGCAATCAACTCCACAACAGCAGTGAGTTTGATTTTGGTTGTATATTGTGCTCTGTATGATTGCTTTCTTTGCCTGCATGCAATCCTTACAAGATTAGCCCACGCAGTTGTGCGTTTCGAACTCATTTTTCACGAGAAAATATTTTTGCTGGGTTAGGGTGGCCCAGCAGAGAAAAGGCGCCACAGGAATTTGCGCACCCCACCACCTTTAATTTCACGCCCGCCGGCTCAGGCTAGTTCTGTTAGGATGGCCCAGCTGAGAAAAGGTGCCGCAGGGATTTGCACGCACACACACTCTCTCTCCCACTCCCACTCCCACCCCCACCCCTAATTTCACGCCCGACGGCACCGGCTGGCTCTGCCCGGGTCGCCTTTCCTGGGGCGCTCAGGTCCGGCCGCGCGCGCCCCAGCCGGGGACGCCGGGGACTGCACCGGCCGAGGCGGGCAGGTGCACACGCAGCCCCAGCCCGCAGGGCAGGCGTCTCTGCGCCCAGGCGGAGGCCATCCCAGGAGTGGGGCCGGCGCGGGGCCTCCCGGTCCCTGACGCCTCCGATAAGGGCCTGCGGGGTTTCGGGGCGCCTGGACCGAGCGATAAAGGCGACCCGGGCGTGGGGACCGCCCGCGAGAGCGCCACGCCCGGGCCTCCGCCACCGACACCCGAGCTCGCGCAGGGCAGCCCGGCTGGGGGCCGGGCGGGGCGGGGCGTCGTCCTAGCCACGCCCACCTCCATCCGGGAGCCTGGGCCGCTCCAATGGCGGCGAGCGCGGCGGCGGCGCGGTCCGGAGCCGGTAGCCTGGCCTCCGGGTCGCGCGCCGAGTAGCTCCTGCCGTGGCCCCCGCGTGCGCAGGGCGTCC